TTTTCTAATTTTGGTTGAAAAGAATAATTAGTGAATTGTGATCAGAGATTGCGTAGCTGTTATAATGAAACCCATTACCAAAGAAAAATTGTAAATTCTATAGAGCTGACTTAGAATAAAATGAACAAGAGGCTGCAATGACCTTCACTTGGGCTTCCTCTATGAGGGGATGTTACTAATCAGAGTAACCCAGTAATGAGTAACAGTAACAGGGAAACAAGTAATGGCACCAAGTGAGACCAACAACACCTCAGGTTTAATTAAGTTTTTTCAATCACTCCTCACTTTAACCTTTCAAATTTTAATCTTAAAACTTCTGTTTAGAGTTTATTCCAAGCATAATTGAACTAAAAGACTTTTGAGTTTAGGTGCAAACCCAACACTACTTTTTTTTATCATTTTGATTGTTTATGAGCTGATGTGAAACACAAGCCATGGGGACAATTAAAGGTCAGTGGCTAAATGATTTGAATCACCATTAGCAACTGGATTGATCGGGATACACCTCTTTTTACACTTAAACAGACAAGAATAATCATGTGCTTTCCAAAATTGGTGGAATTGACTACTGCATACCTTCAATTTCAGTCAGCAAAAAAGAAAGAGAGGGAGGAAACCTGCAGTCGCAAAATATAAATTCTGAGGTATATCACTTGAGGTGGGTCACCAAGAAGTGTTATCATTTGCAAGCAGGAGAAAAGTACATTGTCTGTCAACAAAGATTGTCATGTTATAAAGCAAAATACAACAATTTGATTGGTGACACTTGGAGCTATCCTGCACATCAGTGATGTGTCAAAATGCTTGTATCCCACGTATTAGCCACACCCCAAACATTTATCCCATTTTTGCAATAAAACCAAAATGTGGCCTATCTGTGTGTAAAAATGATCGTACTAGTCTTACAATATTATACAGTACTTTACCTTTATAATTCTGTGAAACTTGCAGTTATTATAATATCCTCTCTGTGCCTGTAATGTAAATGTCACAGTTTATCCACAAACCCTTTTTCATTTTATAGTTAAGCAAGGGAGTGTGCAAAGTAAGCATGAGAGAAAGAGCATGGAGTATAATCATAGAGGTAATTTGTAGACCATATGGTTAACAGCGAGTTACAGTATAAATGACTATCAATATCTTATCTCTAGCAGGGGTGAAGCAGCAGGCATGGACCGAGGTACTTTCCAAAAATTGGACTTTTACTTCAATGTTCCCAATGAATAATCTTTGATTTCAATTTTTCATCAATATTCTTTTTATATCTAGATACAAGTTCTGCTACTGTTAATACTACAGTGTAGTTACCAATAACCAGGAGTTTCCTCATTCATAGTTACTGTGTCAGCAGAATTTTTCCCATTCAAGTATTGTAAGAGAAATAATGACTTTTTGTACATTTTGTAATATGTATAGTTTTTTCTCTTTAAATCGATTTTATTTTTCCAGTAATATAGAATAAATATCTTGTTTAGTACCTTACTTTTTTTTCATTAACATTTACATTTACATGTTATTAGGTTGGTAAAATCATCAACTTGACGATATCACACCAACTGTAAAAATAAAGCAAATAACTAGATAAACGTGATAAGGAAATGAATAAAAAAAACAATTATGTTGATGTTGAAAATAAAAGTTCAATTACGAGAACTATATAAGCTATGTACAACTATCATTTAAAAAGGCTGATAACCTATAATTTATTGTTTAAAAATTTCTTAGGAAGTTGACAAAACAATGGTCTCAGGGAGGCAGTTCCAGTCTGTTTTAATTCTTGGAAAAAAGGAAAATTTGAAAACGTCTTTACTTGCATATGGCACGTGAAATTCAAATAGATGGTTTCCCCTTGTGCAACTCTCAGAGTGCGGTACTAAATATTCTCGATTATCTATGTCAATAAGACCGCGAGTTAGCTTATACATAAGTATTAACCGAGACTGCCTTCTTCTCATTTCCAACGTGGTCCATCCTAAATCTTCGATCATGTCAGTAACACTAGCATTATCTATGATAATTCTGCAAGCAAAACTGTGCTGCTTTACGTTGAACTCTTTCCAGCGCACTGACATCTTTCTTTGAAAACGGATCCCAAGCCACAATCACATATTCCAGCTTCAGCCGTACTAGGGATGTATATACAATTTCCTTTACATTTATTGGGCAATTCCAAAGGTTGCGTTGATTTGAACCCAGCGACTTGTTTGCTGTAGCTGTTATTATGGAAACATGATCTGACCACTTAAGCTTGTTACTAATAGTAACCCCAAGATATGGGAAGATATCCAACTGTTCCAATTTGACACCACAGAAGATGTATTTTCTCTGGGCTGGGTTGATCTTATGTGAGATGGTAACAATGTTACTTTTGGAAGGATTAAACTCCATTTGCCAATAGTGTTGTCCAATAGTGCAAGTCCACCTCAGCCTTGTTGGCTACAAATTTTGTAACGTGCATTGTTAAATAAAATAACGATGGTGAAGATGATGGTAATGACTAGGACTATTAAAGTTGGTGGTCACTGTTTTCAACTAACTGCCATTAATCCAATATTTATTGAACACTAAATGAAAGGAAGTACTTTCATTTATGAAACATTTCCCTCATGTATTTGAGTGAAATGTGTGCTGTTGCTGTAGCAATACCACTGGGTTGGCATTTGGTTCCCAATACAGTTGACCCTTTTCAGTAAGGAAACCAGAGAGAGAGCACGAAGTCAATTATGCCTTTAATCACATGATCTAATTGTTCATTCTCAACTTTAATCTTTAATCTTATTTTA